GTGATATATGATACAGATATTGATTTCGGCGAAGTTGAAAACGTTCCAAGAATTGTTCCACGGAAAGCAAAAGAACACTATTCTAATGAGGAATGTGATTTTACGCACCTTGAACCGCATAAGAAGAAAGAACTTATGGAAATTTTAAGAAGGCATAAGAACCTAAGAACTGGTATTCCGAAAATCGCCAATGTGGGAGAACACAGCATCAAACTGAAACCTGGAAGTATGCCAAGAAAGCAGAAACCGTATCGAATACCTGAAGTTCTAAGAAATGAAGTTGATCGACAAATAGATGAGCTATTGCAGCTAGGGCTAATTGTTGAGTCGGAGAGTAAATATGCACATCCGGTAGTTTGTGTATCAAAAAAAGACGGAACTGTTAGATTATGTGTGGACTATCGATACCTGAACTCACAGACGGAAACCGATGCCTTCCCCATGAAAAACACTGTAGACCTAATTTACCAGGTGTCAAAGTCCAAATACATCACTTTGATTGATCTTCTTAAAGGGTACTGGCAGATACGACTGAAGCCCGAGTGCCAACCTTTGACGTCGTTTGTGACCCACAGAGGACAATATGCCTTTATAGTTTTACCCTTTGGATTAAAGAATGCCGCCGCAACTTTTCAGAGAACTATGAACAAACTTCTCGCCGAACATAAAGACTACGCCGATTCTTATATTGATGACGTGATTATATTTTCTGATGACTGGAATACACATCTGGAACATCTGAACAAAGTCTTAAGTACGCTAGAAAAGGCAAATTTCACGGTTAATTTCAATAAGTGTGACTTTGCAAAGCATAAAATCAAATTTCTAGGACACGTAGTTGGTTCCGGTTCACACGAACCTGACCCAGAAAAAGTTGAAGCCATACAGAATTTAGAAGTTCCCCGGACTAAGAAAGATGTAAGAAGTATTTTAGGACTATTATCGTATTACCGGTCTTAAGCACCCAATTTTTCTGCGATAGCACAACCTTTAACGGCGTTAACAAAAAGAAGGGCTTCGAACGAAATTACTTGGCTGAAGGAACACGATGAAGCGTTTATTCAATTAAAACGTGCCATTTGCAATGCCCCTAAATGTTACTCTCCAAATTTTAGTTTGCCTTTCATCATTTACGCAGACGCATCGGCATACGCTGTAGGAGCTTGTTTGGCTCAACAAGATGAAAATAGTGTAGAACACCCAATAGCCTTCGCTAGTAAAAAGTTGACCGAGACACAAAGAAATTACGCTGTTATTGAAAAGGAAGCGTTTGCCGTTATCTTTGCCCTGAAGAAGTTTGAAGCTTATATCTTCAGTTCTGAGATAGTCATCGTTAGTGATCATAACCCTCTCAGATTTCTCACCGAATGTTCTTCACAAAGTTCTCGTTTACAACGCTGGTCTTTAGCATTACAGCGATTTCATGCAGTGATTACATACCGGAAAGGAAAAGATCATATTAATGCAGATTCGTTATCTCGATTGACTGCCTCTCACTGGGAGCATGACTGACGTTATGAACTATGAACTATAAGACATTTTGACTGTTTAGTTTGATTTTTTTTTAGCTAAAATGCTAATTTTTTTCCCTAACGTTATGTAATAGGTTTAAAGATTTAGCCAGGGTTTGCTAAAGTATTATGTTTAATTTTAAATGATTGATTTGTATTGTCTCGTTTATATGATAACTGCTTATATGATTATGATTATGTGAAGGATTTAAGTTTGAAAAGTTAATTGAATGTTACATCTTTTTAAATGAATAGGATTACTGAATTTATGTTGAAGTAATTTTAATTTAAAATGGTAAGAATTGGTTAATTAAGTTCGAAAATTTCATGAATGTTATTTTATTTTGTTTCAAGAAATGTTTATATATGTGGATTTGACAGGTCATTGAAAGACGCAATCAAATCTTTTCGAGGGGAGGTGTCATGACGTGATGACCACGCATGCGCAGTTTAGCCGAACGGCCTGCAACGCCTCTCTCTCATGAGACTTACTAGAGTAGTTAGTAGGTAGTAGCGAAGTAACGAAGGAAACGTGCTGTATGTCAGCTTAGATGCAAAATACGAAGTTATACTTGTGTGTTAATCGCTTGTACTTATTATTTTTATTTGTGTGTTAATAAAGTTTTGTGCCGTTAAAATGGCTGTTTTATGCAACGCCCACAATACGATACGTCTACGGTAGGAATTAAATGCATATCCAGAATCTACAAGCCCAAGAAAAAGGATATGACAATGTGCATGATTTTATGTGAGCTTTTGTGAAATATGATAATGAGAAAGTATACAAGGTCTGGAAATTTGCTCATTTTATATTTTAATTGCATCATATAAAATTTTTACTCAAATGCACCTAATTTCAGCTTGCAATAAAAAAAACCGTCAATTTTTCTGTAATTTCTGATTTATGCATCTGTTGGATTTGCGAAGTCATAGAATAGAAACTGTGTACTTTTTTTTTATTTATTATATTGAATTGGCAAGGAAACTATTTCAGATTAGGTAAAAAAAATAGGGGCCTAGATTTTGGATAAAACTTAATTGATTTTGAAAGCGAGGAAACACAAATTCCAGTTTGGCTGGAGCAAAGAAATTCAGTTTCTAATTGCGTTGATATCATTATCAACTGTTATATGAGAGTCAGATATTTATCCACAAGTATGAATGGTGGCATGACAAATATCTGTTATTATGCAAGCAATCGTAAATCCAATAAAACACACAGATGTTTTAGTAGCAACTATATAAATTTTCTTCACAAGTTTACCCATGATGATGAATGATGTGACATGAGAAAAAATAGCACATGTATGGAAATGCAATTGATTGGCATTTTCAAGAACTTAGAATCTATTTTTAAGGTCTGATTATTCAAACACAGTTCCATTGTGAATTAAATTATTAATCTTACTGTGAGGTTACCATAATCCTAGTTTTATTCTGAATATTCTTTGAAAGAGAAATTTATAGACTAAATTTGCCTAGTTTTGCTAAGTTTGGCTTAATCGGTGAACTTGACAAAGCGATCGTATCATATAAAAATAAGATTAAAAATATCTGATACTAGAAATATCTTGTTGAAGATTTTTTTACGTGCACTACATTTTCTATATAAGACCAATCTAAAAAATTAACACTATTTATTCTTTCGCTTTCTTATACGGAGAAACATAACCAAACCATTCAGTTGTATAATGCTGGAAGTCGTTCAAACATACATATTCACAGATATTCACAAAGACTTATTTTAGATTTCCGAATCGAAGTTGCGAACCCTGTTTACATCGAACGAAGTTGTTGATGCTGGGTGGAGCTTCGTTGTGACGTCGGCTTACGCATGCAGCGACGATCACGTGACCTCCCTGCGCGTTCGAGGATTTAGCGCCGACCGAATCTCAAACCCTAATTCTAGGAATTAATCGTCCATATCTGGATCTTTTTCCAGGAACAGTCTCTAGGAAAGAATCATTAACAGTTCGTTGCTTAGAAGGAGTTACCTTTTGAACTAGTACTGGATTGTCAGAAGCGGTCTCTGAAAGACCATTTTCATCAGTCTTCGGTTCATTGAGAATAGAATCCTGTTCTGCTACAGGTATAACGGGATCACTTTTATCAGTCACTTCAAGAGGTATTAACCTAAGCACTGGGCGGAGAAATTCTTAGTTTTTCATTTTTATTTTTACTAGGCGAACTTCTCCATCTTTAGAAGGATAGAGTTCGACCACCCTAGCCAGAGGCCATTCAATTTTCTTGACGTTATCACTAGAAACCAGAACAATATCGCCAATTTGGATGGGTTTCTGATTTTTATGAGATTTCGATGATTGGCGTAAATTCCCTAAATATTCAGTACGAAACCGCTTTCTTAAATCTTGTTTCATACGTTGACGGTAAGCATGTCTTTTATTTAACGACGACGAATCCAGAACATCAAGATCTGGAATTCCTGTTTCTTTAAGATCATGCAAAAACATAGAAAGGGTAAGTGGAGTTAAATCATCAACGTCTTCCGAAATATAGGTTAAAGGTCTCTGATTAATCATACCTTCAATGTCACAAATAACGGTGTTCATTTTTTCTAAATTAAGTGAGCTTCTACCTAGAACCTTTCGTAGAATTCCTTTGATTATACCTATCAGACGTTCCCACCACCTACCCCACCATGGGGCAGACGGGGGATTACATTTCCAAATGATCTTTTGAGATCCGCTGTATTGGGAAATGACGTCCCAATCAATTTTATTCAGCAAGTTCTCAGCTCCTGAAAAATTAGAACCATTCTCACAGAATACGTGCAATGTTAGACGGTTTGGTACTTCACAATTGGGAATAAGACACCGAGGAATTTCTATTTCTTTTAGCTTAGAAAGTTTCCGTTTCCACTTCTCAAACTTCTTTGCAATGGTGGTAGGAAGTTCAGTATCCCATGATACTTCAATTTCTAGCAATCTTGTAGGAGGACTTTTGGTCCCAAAGTAACAAGACAGGTGAGGCCAAGGGGATCAAAGATTTTATGTACGGTTGACAGGATTTTTCTCTTTGTCACAGCCGTATCGTCTTCAATATTTTCTCGTAAATCTACCGTCAAAAAGTCATTCTTTAAATTCCACTGAAGCCCTAGAACTGGAATATTCTTTTCATTTTTAGGCAAAGGATCTTCAGAGTCTTGATTATTATAATTGTGCTCCCACTCTCGAAGTTCGAATTTGGCAGTGCTAAGAACCAGCTTGGATTCCTCAATAAATTTCTCAAGTTCTTCAGGATTTTTTACACTGGTAACACAGTTATCCACGTAAAAGGATTCCAACAGCATGGTGGCTGTTTTTTCAAAACGGTGAGGAGCATTATGTAAATGAAATCGAATGGTTGCTCCCAAAAGATACGGGGAACAAGAAAGTCCGAACACAACCCGTCTATGCTGGAAAACTTGAGGTTTGGCAGAATCACCACCCTCTCACCATAAAAACTTTAGATATAGTCGATCACTCTCACTCAGGCTCTACGTATGTCCGCAACAACGCCTATTTTCTTTAATCTAAATCGATTCATGATGGCGGGAATGAGCTCGACGGTGTTGGGACCTTTTTCCAGGCAGTCTTTGATAGAAGGCGAGTTCTTTTCTATAGCCGATCCATCAAAGACCGCTCTGACTCTTGTAGTGGAATTTTCTTTCACTACAGCTCTGTGAGGTAAGAAGTGTTCACTTTCTTCTTTACAAGAATTCTTAACTTCTTCAATAACGCCTTCTTGAAGATATTCTCTAAACACTTCTTCGTATGCTTCTAAGTTTCCATTCCTCTTCAGTGATTCAACGCAGCCCTTTAGTCTTCGTTCTGAAACATTTTTGCAAGTGGTCAAAGGAGGATGGCCTTGTATCCACGGAAGACTTACAACGTACCTTCCATCGACATCTAATTTTACACTTCTGTTAAAATGTTCTTCAGCTGCCATCTCAAGCTCTTGTCGACTTCCCTTCTCTCCAGGGTACAAAATGCCAAGTGTATCAAGTCGCCGTATGTCCGAAATTTTTGCATCGTTTGCATATAAAATCTTAAAGAATTCAATTAGTGCCTTTCAAATTCAAAATACATAAAATCATTAATATCAATCTGCGATTAATTCGCTTTCGTCTCGGCACGGGATGCCGAAATTAATATTGCGTCAATTCAATAGACAATATTAATCAATGAGTAAAACATTCCAACAGTAGGTAAGCAAAATAGCACTTACCTGAATCACAGGGTTCTTCATTTAGGTATATCCAAAAAATACGCACAGGTTCAGCTTTTTAAAAACTTTAATCTGTACACAAGTTATAAAAGTACAAGGGAGCAAAAACTACGCATCCATTTCGTAAGGCATTCAAAAATAAACTAAAATAAAAATAGAACACTGATTACATCATAAATCGTTGAGCGCGCGGTTAAAACTTACGTAATCAGTTCAATCCGTTATGCGCGCGCACAGGTGGAAGTATCACTATCCAACAGATTATCATATAATGATCGTTGGCGTTAAAACTATTATTTTAAAATTTGATTTAAAAGTTAGCTTTCTAGTTAGTTCGATGCTCTGATAATACGATTATTTTTTAGGCAAATTAAACATTAAAATTTCAACAATAAAAGATGAAACTAAATGCTCTCAGCATAACAACATTTCACATATATGCAATTGATACATATCAACTTGGAAGTTAGGAATTGATACATATCAACTTGGAAGTTAGGAATTTATAACACTCAACTCCTTCTCGAAGTTATTTTAAGGGAAGGAGGCTAAATTCTTTGAACGAAAAAATGAGGAAGCATGATTTCGTGACAAAAAAAAATTACTCTGAGCGCCTGCTCTTCAAATGCTTTAAACTTGGTTTTATCTAAATTAACACCAAAATCTGAGATTTTGAGATTATTATTAAAATATTATGTATGTTAAAATAATGATAAAGTGTATGTAAAGGTATATAAAAGACGTAATCCGCTACAAATAATAAAACGGCTCTAAAATATATATTTTGTTAAAATATATGTAACAACTAACAGAATATGTTCGAAAAGAATATTCGTCAAGTATTCAAAAAATTGTTTAACAGTCGTTCGGAAATTCATCAGTGAAAACTTTTTTCTAAAAAATAAAAAAATTATTTTAATGTAAATCGTATAAGAAATGGTTGTCTTTCCTAGTGCGTTCATTCGTAGTGTAACCGGTAGTACGATTGATTCCCAATGGGAAAATCCGTTTTTGAAATTCCAGCGAAAGCATAAATGATATTCCACGTGCCCATCTTCGAAAAGGTTAACAAATCTACAGCATTATTTTTAAATCTTTCTTCCATTTTTCCTGTACTCTTTCACCTGAATTATCAGTTATATTTTGAAATAGGTTAGAAAACAAAACCTCTTTAATTTAAGAGCTTTAATATTTTATTTAGTTCAGAAAAAAAAAAAAAAAAAACTACTAACAGCATTTAGCAAAAGCATAAGTAGAGACTATCCAGCTCTTCAGAGCAAGAAACGGGGAAAATCAAATGTCCCCCAACGACAGATATTCCTGTTGCTAGTTGGACAGACTAAACACTTATATCACAACGAAATCAGAGAAAATGTCTTATATACTGAAAGAGCGACTGGGGAGGCATATAAAATCCAGTCGACGATTCCAATTAATGATGTCCTCTACATTCTTAGTTGGGGTGATTGAAGCGATTACCAGATTTTAGGAAGCGTGAAACATAAAAATTTTCGTGCGATATTCCACCACAAGAGAACCACTTACACCATAAGAGAAGGCGTGGGGAATGCAATAATTATTTAACACATAAAGATATATGTATATCATATATTTTAAATTTTGAGCTCTCTAAATTTTGTATTTCCAGATTAAAATGGCTGGGAAAAGATTGTGTCTCTTAGGATTGGTTTTACTGCCATTTACTATTGTTTGCGCAGATATGCCTTTCCAACTTCGGGCTATGCTCAGCAAGGCAGATGATAGCAGCAACTTCTGGGGCATGCCTAAAGTAAGCCTGCATATTAAATAGCTTTCAATAAAGCAGCCTAACAGGCTATAAATTTCAGTCTTTTTCTTTTCCAAAATTTAGTGTCCGTTTTGCAGAAACTAAGAGCATGTGAAATTTTCTTGATATAGTTTATATTAAATTATATTTCGTGTATGTTTAAAATACTAGTACTCTCTGTTTTGTTTCAGTTACGATGACTTAAAATACTGATGTTTTTATGTCATGTTAATGTTCTTGAATTTTTGAAGATCGCAACGTTTTCTTGTTGTTGTTATTTATACAAGTTATAAAGTACAGTAGTCTTAGGTTAGCGAAGTTTTAAAGTTTATTTAACTTTAACTTCTCCCTTATTTTTCTTCTAAACAGTCTAAGCTTTAGCTGTACATGACAATTTATTCTCAGCGTAATATTTACCTGACTAAGAAAAGCTGAAAACCAAATCAAGCTGAAATATATATTGAGCTGTATGACTGGCAATATTACAAAATTAATAAATCCAAGTGCGCGTTACCAATTAGACGTTTTTATTAGACAAATTTATCACCAAATCGGTTCTTTAAAAGTGGTAACAGACATCACCTATTTGTGATAATCAACTGTTTCGAACAATTTTTTTAGCAGATTTACCATTGAAATCAGGTACTAATTATAGCCTAGGCCCACAAATCCGGTCTTAAAATCTCAAATTTTAGGCTTCCCGAGAATCGTCACAGGCCTTTTTCATAATCTTTACTTTCACTGAAGCAATATAAGTGAGAACTCTTGAAAGAAGCTGTGCCTTGGCTCCTGATCGCCTTACATTACACTGACCGAAGTTTTTATTTGTTTTGGTTTGGTTTATTGAGATTAAAGCAAAGCCCACTACGGTTATTTACTTAAGGGGGGAGAGATGTTTCCGTGGAGGACATTCTAAGGAAAACTGGCTCGTATACATGTTAGACATTGGGGAAACCTAAAAACGCTCATTCGCCTGAAACCCAAGTCACCGACCGAATGAAATCCATATTAATAATGGAGCATTGTTTTAAACTTGATAATCCTAGCCGATTGCCATGGTTGATTGATTTTATAACATGAATCAAAGAGTAGAAATCACATGAAACATTTATTCTTCCCAAATATTGTTTAGAAAATTTACACTTAATAGCACTGAAATCTTCTATTATATAATTATAAAGTATTCTCTCCCTTGTCTTCGTGGCATAATTGGAAGCATACTCGAGACGTATTCGAGAGTCCCGGCGAGGGCTCTGTTTCAAAAAACCCTAATAACCTTACAAACATTTACAAAGAAGTGTCACTGTATGTATTCTTCATAGACAGATATGACCACAAGAACATGACCACGAGGCTAGAACATGTCTTAAAAATATAAAGAAGGGACTCAGCCAGAATCAAAAATCATTAGCAAAATTATTCCCAAGAAATTAATATTACTGTCTGGAAGCTCAAGTAATTGTTTTCCTTTTCAAATGAAAAAAGTTTTTATTCAGCTGTAAGAAGTCTTCTGTTTGAAGTGTTTAATGTTACTTTCTTTACGCTTTCTTTCAGAGTGCCAATTATAAATTTTCCTTAATACTGAAGTCTTCATTTACAGAATCACCCAATAAGAATGGAACTGGAAAGAGAACCCGGCGTTCTGTTAGGTAGAGAAGAAAATTTGGATATTTCGAAACTGGCAAGCGGAGATATTGATAAAGTTGTTCTAAGATCAGAAAATCTTCCTTTCAAAATGTCAGGTATTTTAAGACGTAATGGAAGATCTGGAGAAGAGAAAGCTCAATGCCACATACATGTACAAGTGGTATGAAGTAATTAATTTTTATCTAAAGCTTTTTAGAAAGTATTTCTGTTGCACTCCATTTAATTCTTTACCACTTACAGGAACAATACCTCAGTCATATTGTGAACTCAAACCAATATTCTTCATGTAAGAAACTATTTTATTTGTAGCATATTTGATGTAAGGAAATATTTTATTGTATTTATTGTAAAAGCAAACGAAAACATGGAATGACAAGAAATTTCATAATTAATTACATTTCCGAAAGTTTTGAAACAACAGAGAATTAAACTTTTGAAAATGTTAAAATAATTTAAGGGAAAAAGTAAAATCTAAGTGGAAAAAAAAAAAAAAAAAAATCTGAGAGGAAAACGAACATAGAAACAGCTAAATGAAAAACAAACTTATAAAGTACGTTCTCCCTCCTTTCTGCATGCCTTTGTGGTGTAACGGTATTCAGCACGTATTCGAGAGGTCCAAGTTCGAGTCCCGGCGATTACACATTTTTCATGTCTCCTGCGAAAAATAACCTAATGTCTCTATAGAACACAGTTATGCAGGGATTCCGTATTAAGCATTCAAAACAAACTGTGGAATTTATGATCAAATCTGTGCAATTTATTCAGTTAGTGAACGTTTTGCGTAAGTTGCATTTGTTTGACAACAGCCAACGCATCAATTGAATTTAATATTCCGATATGACAAACACTCCTTTCCTAGTTTTGAATTTCTCTTTTCACCGCTCAGAAGCAGGACAAGGCAAAATAAAACGTGGTGCAAAGATAAATTTTTGTTTTCGGATAAATTTTAAAGATAAATTTAAGCTCAGTTAAATACTAATCGATTGGAAGTTAACTTGTGCACCTTTGATCAATGAAATATCTTTTAGTTTCCTTGATTTAAAAAAATTCTGGCTTTCACACCATGTTTGAAATCGGATGACATTGTACATATCTTGCACTATTCAATGCAAGAGATGCTCACGGTACGTCTGTGAGTAGCCCAATCATTTGAAAACCTACATTTGTTGCTTATACTAATTTCTAGTGCGTTTGGGGAAGAAGGAAAAAAAAATTTAATCACATTTTAGCTAAAACTTAATTTCATTTTCTCTACAAAGAGAAAGCATAATTCGCGAGACACTCGATATTAAATACAAAAATGTTTCCCTTTAACCAACAAAAGTATAAGCAAAATGTTAATGAATACAGTGGACATTCGAACTATAATTTTTGAAGGTTGTAGAGAGGGCAAAAAGATGATTGCGGAAAAGCACTTGAGCCCTGAAAGTATTAAACATTGCAAATAAAATACATATTCTAAATAAAAATAATTTAAAAAAATCTGAAAGGTTTCAGATTTTAAATTACGTCCAAAGGAGCATTTTTTTAACATTTTGTATGTTACCTTCATTTATTAAGTATCATATTCTTTGCACTTAAATCATAAAATTCAGTTCAAGAGCAATATCGCAAAATAATTTTAAATTGAGCATATCTTTAAAACTTCCGATACACAGTCTCACGCGTTGGAGATAAAAATATTTTTATTGTACGACGTTGCTATTGCTCGCTTTCAAATCCTTGAGTTTGTTAGTCAAAAATTCGTTAAAGTTTTACAAAATATGAAATCGATGATAAAACAAATTCCAAATTTCATATTTGGGCTTCCAGATGACCATATTCGCAGTAGGATAACGTCATTCAAAATTGGATGGCTCTAGGAACTGTTGTTTCATCACAATACGAGAAACATACAGGGTGATCAGCGAATAAGCCCTGATATCAAAATTAAATATCTCTACAACAAAGATCGATAGAATTATGCTGTAAACTGTACGTTTATTAGCAAAACTGTAAAAATGGTGTACAAAAGTTTATAAAATTTAGTTATGAAAAACGTTAACAGATGGCGCTCTAATCGCAATGACCTATCAATAGCCTTTAAAATGTGCTTCGAAGTCGAAAGTGATCAGTACAACTGTTGGCTAGTGAAAAGAGGCTAGCGTAGAAAGTGAAATAATGTATTCCATTGAACAACGTGCATTTTTGGTTCTGGAATTTCACCAATTAGAACACAGTCCTACGGCAACACGTCGCAGTTTTCAAAACCGATTCAATGTTCCAGTTGGACTCGTTGCGAAAACCATTCGCATGCTCTTCGCGAAATTCGAATGGACTGGCAGCGTGGCTGATGATCGAAAGGGAAATGTTGGGCCTAAGCAAACTATAGTCACCCCTGAAAATGCAGCCAAAGTTTCTAGATTCGTTCAGCAAAATCCTAGGAAAAGCATCCGACGGACTGCATCAGAGACAGGTTTGAAGTACACGAGCACACAAAAAATATTTAAAAATAGCCTACGGCTGTTTCCATACAAAATCCAAAGTCATCAGGCCATAACCCATGAAAGCTGTGCAACAAAAGGTTGACTTTGCGAATCAGATTCTAACAATGATCGACAACGACAGATTTGATGTGAGCTGCATTTGGTTCACAGATGAGGCACATTTTCATTTGAAGGGAATCATTAAAAAACAAAACTGGAGATTTTGGGGTACCGAAAATCCTCATTTGTGTGAAGAAAAAGCACTGCATTCGCCTAAAGTTATGGCATGGGCTGCGGTATGCGCCAGAGGCATTATCGGACCCTTTTTCGTACGAGAAACGATAACTACTGAACGTTACGTTACAATTTTGGAACAATTTGTCAGCACTCAACTAGCGTTGGAGGATCGACCAGGTATCGACTGGTTCCTGCAAGATGGAGCTCGACCACATCGAACAAATAAAGTTTTTCAATTTCTTCATGAATACTTTGGGAATAAAGTAATTGCATTAGATTATCCTCAATTTACTGACACAGGAATAGCTTGGCCTCCATATTCTCCCGATCTGAGTCCTTGTGACTGTAGGGCGCATTGAAAGACGCATGAAAATAATGATACACAACTTTTGATAAATGTAGAAAAGGAAAATGCAATTGAATCTCAATCTACCATTCCTGCCAAGACTTATTTCCTTGTAAGAAGTAAAGAAAATATTGTAATCGGAAAAATTTAGGATATCATATTTTACCTGAAATATCCATTCTGACCTTTCCGAATCCATTTGGACGATTTTTTTGGGGTGACGCCTGTACGTACGCACAGAATAAAGGATTTTTTTTCCCAGACAGAAATTTTCTATCGAAACAATCCTGCTACTTTAGATGAGCTTGAATCGTTGATTGGTGATGCATGTGATTCCATTTCCGTCGAGGCACTGCGAGAGGTGATGTCAAATTTCATTGTTTGTTTACGCCACCTCATTGTTTCGAACGGTGAACATTTCGAAAAAATTGTATTTTGATTGCAAAGGCTGCTTCACTTTATTTTTTTAATTAATTTTTTTTACTCCTTTCAGAGAAAGAGTTTTCAGTGCAAAGCGCCATCTGTTAACGATTTTCGTAACTAAATTTTCTAAACTTTTGTACACCATTTTTCAGTTTTGCTAATAAATGTACAGTTTACCACATAATTCTATCGATTTTTTGTTGCAGAGATATTTAATTTTGAAATCAGGGCTTATTCGCTGATCACCCTGTACATACATTTATGCAGATTCTTCATTATTTAATTTCTTTAAATATAATACAGGGCTGTAATATTTGGTGGCAACAGTTTGAAAAGTGAACCGACATTTATCGTGAATCGACACAGAATGCCAAAGCGAAATTAACAGCCCTTCTGGGCTAACGCTCTTTGGGCTAAAAATCCGATGTAGACACTAGATGGCTTTCTTGTACGGCCTATAAAATTATAAACATTTTTTGCTTCACTTCATTTGAACTTATTTCCTCTGCAAATTTTGAAATTAAATATCCCAGTGAAATTTCGTCGTACGGGAGTTAAACCTCTTATAATTGTATTTTCTCACATCGAACTTTCCCCAAAATATTAATATGAGAACTAGAAGACTACATTAAATATTATTTTTCGTTATTTGTCGGAATTTTTATTTTTTTATTTTGACATTGCCACAACATGAATAGTTTCGTCATTTAAAACATATCTGTAATATAGATATGTGTGTGTTTTCGTTTGTTAATACCGATTGCAATAAAAAAAGGGAGGTACGAACTAGATATTATAGCATACCAATACATAAAATTTTATCATTCTAAGGATACCAATACATAAAATTTTAACATTCTAAGGATACCAATACATAAAATTTTAACATTCTAAGGATAATCATTGAGTTATAAGAGATATATACACACGTACATACTGACGTCACCAAAACAAAAAACAAATTCTTTTTTGAATTCCTTTCAAGCCTATTTTACATTCCGTTCTGGGAAAAAGAATCCTTTATTCTGTGCGTACGTACAGGAGTCACCCAAAAAAATCGTCCAAATGGATTCGGAAAGGTCAGAATGGATATTTCAGGTAAAATATGATATCCTAAATTTTTTCCGATTACAATATTTTCTTTACTTCTTACAAGGAAATAAGTCGTGGCAGGAATGGTAGATTGAGATTCAACTGCATTTTTCTTTTCCTTTTCTACATTTATCAAAAGTTGTGTATCATTATTTTCATGGGTAATACTGTTTTTCTGTCTTACAGACGGAAACTTATAAAGGAAATTGTATTCGACTAAGGAACAGTACTCCAGCATGTCACAATGATAAATATGTCTCTATCAATTATGATGAGTGCAGCTAAGTACATTGCCTTCGGATTTACTGTTCGATCTCTTCCCTTTACAGACGATTAAAGGTTTCTGATTTAAAATGAGATACTCGTTTGTAAATAGAAGAAAAAGTCTTGACCAAGATAATATTCGTTTTTGACATAATTATATCTTTGAACTTTAGAAATTTTATTGTTGTCTGTCTTACTGTTGCAGCTACGGTAGCAGAAACTGCATTTTCGTTCAGAAGATAATTGATGGTTCATTTTACTAGTATATGTACTATTATCTTAATAGTTTGTATTATAATCTTAAAATCCTGTATTCGTTATTTTATTCATTACACCCCGATGATGTGCTTATGTCACTGATGCTCAATAAATTGTGTTCAGTATTTTGTGTTGTAGTGATTTAACAATATTAACATTGACATGAATATTTCCTTTAACAATTTTGCAATAAACTAAGTGGCAATACTCAAACTTGTTGAGAAATATGCCAAAGTAAAATTTTAAATTAAGAAAACAAGCAGCAATAAATTGGTTTAAATTTTGAATAAAACTGTGTGGATACTGACGGCGATTAGATACATTCTTTTCTTGAGAAATAAAAGATTTCGGCGAAGATGGCTGTATTTGATTACAACACAGTATACGAGGGATACCTGCTAATGAAAAGAGAAACTAGTTGGTACCCACGTTAAACATGGGAAAATTACGAAAATGCCCATGCAGCCAGCTCGTTCGCCTGCAATCGAACCCAAGTCCAACTACCAGTGTTCCAACGACTTTACCTCTCAGCCGCTGGTGGGCGCGAAAGTGGGAGAAGCAGCAACCATACGTATATAGATTTCTATACAAATAACGACTATAACTCCATATAACTGTGTTTTGTTCCACCTAATAATTTCCATATAAATATGATTGTCGCTCTTCCCGCCTTTGAAACAAAATTTTGTACCTCAAAAAGAGAAATACATGTTGATGGAATTTTATTCGATTATTAAGTCGATGGGGTTTTATTCAGTATCTACACTAATTTAAGGTTGCTTTTTGCCTCATTTTAAGGAGCAGTAATTTGCATTATAATTAAAAAAAAAAAAAAACTAAACTGTCGCAAGTCAAATATTTTCTGGTTAAAAAGATAAATAAGGGACATAAAATTGGATGAATGAACTATATTAAATATTTTATGTAAAATGTACTGAAAATAAAATATATATTGGAATACCCGCCCATTTAATAATGTAAAGTTATTAAAAGAACAAATAGGTTAATAAGTAATCTGTTTAAAGACTCATAAAACAATGATTTAAATAATTAATTTGTTAAGCAGAAAAGTAGGGTTTGGGAAAGAGCAATAAATTATATAATCTGCTCTCTTTACTCCTTAAGCTTCGGTAAAGGAATGTAATATAACTTTGAAGTAGGAATATGGTTCTAATTACAATAAGGTATTACAGCCAAAAGCTGTAAAATTTGTATAACTCAAAACAGTTTTAATTTATTTAAAACAAAAGCAATAGTGAAATAATGTGTATAGAAACAAAATGTTAAATATATTAGCACGATAATACAGGTTCAAAAACCTCAGATATAAAATCAAGTAAGATAAACTGATTAAGTAATATCTAACATTAAAAACAAAGTTGTCTTAATGTATATAATGCTTCAAAATATTTAAAGTTTATTGCAAAACCTGATCTACTTAAACACTGGAATAGCTTAAAATTTGAATCATATTCATTCAATTATCAGTCAAAATACTCACCACAATTTGCATAGAAACAGCAGGGAGACGCTACGATACTGTATACAGATCGGTAGATTGCCCCTATTAGCATATGCTATTGGGTGAGACCTGAATGATCAATCAGCAGTCAAAGGAATCTTTTCATTTCGTTTTTCACTCAGATCCGAGAAGTCGAGTTTCGATTTTACGATCCTTATTTTGCAGCTAACTTAAAATCTATAGTCTACTACGTATATAGAATTTTCTGCCTGACTCACTTTTCCACAGTATAGAGAACAACACTCTCAAAAGGAATGTCAATGGATTTGGCAGCAGTACTTCGCCCCTTGAGCTTAATATCCGCACACTTCAATATTCCGTGTCCATTTTTGCCAGAGGCTTCTGTGTCAGGAAAATAAAATAATAAATTGAATTAAATTAAAGAATTAAAAGCAAAACTTAGAATCAAAATTTAAAAAAAATTAGAAATTATATTCTGAAGGAAAAAATGTAAATTTAGCGCTGCCTCTAGTTGATGATGCTTGTTCATTTTGCTGCCACTTGCTCCAAAATTTGTAGCGGGAGATGAACAGACGGCGAGTGGATTTGAGTGGGCGTCGGCCTGTCACGCACATTCTATCGCGCGCTATATTGGGCTGTTCCTGGAAATATATGTGTGAGTGATTTCTTGGAACTGTACGGTAAAAAAGAGTTTCGCTCTCATTCTGCTCCATTGGGGAATTTCTGGAATCCAGATGAAGATTTAGGAAACTTAGTCTTGTTAAATAAAGGCTGGTTAGTGGATTTGAGGTTACTTCTCAGCGAACTTTCATAAATTCTTCGGAGAGTTTTCTGTTCCTTTGATCTCTCTGCAAAGATTAATTACATAATTAGTAGTTTTTCATTGATAAAAGTGTTGTGTTTTGCTTTTTTGATACAATTAGACAAAAAAAAAAAAAAAGGCGATACATTCCCGGTAAAGAAAATTAGCTTTTTTAGTTTTCAAATAGGAGAGAGAGATGGAAATTTAAGTCATCAACGCCCCCTCCCCTCGCCGAGAAGAAAGAAAATCTGTCTATCAGCCCCCAAAAAATCCAATCAAACAGCCTCCCAAAATTAAAATAACTTCTAATTGAAGACGAAAACCCATACAAGTCCCTGTCGTCTGATGAAGAAGACAAAAATCTGACATAGCAGCAGAAAATAGAGCATATCAAAACGAAGAAAAGGATAAAATTCCGCCGATGGTCATCACTGATATGAATGCTGATTGGGCAGCAATTCGGGAAAAAATCACAGATCGTACTGGCGACAACATCGAAGCGTAAGCGGAACAACTCAGAAACTGCAGAAAAGTATCGAATTGTTTCAAAACTTTTAGAGGAAAGAGGTACTCCGTTTCATACATTTATGACCCACTCAACATTATGCAACCTTAGAGTAGTACTTAAAAGCTTATCCCGAATACTACGCCGAAGAGAAAATGAAGGAAGAACCGATCCGAAGATAACCCAGTACAAAAGGTCAAACAGCTAACGAAAAATCTTGTCATTTAATCAACTTAGTACTGAAGGTAGAACAATATATAATTTAGAACTGATCATGAATTTCCGTATCTTAGTGTCAAAATTCCGAACTAAAAAACAACAAAACGCAGGGTTTTTGCTGCCTTTGACATGAACATTCGCAACAACCCGCCCAAATGCGTGAAATGCTCTCTTGGACATTACACTTATCAATGTAAAATGGGAAAAGAAGAGAAGCCGAAATGTGTGTTCTGTGGAAAAGAACACGCAGTACGTACCGTGGATGGGAAGAATATGAAAATCAAACCAGGACATTTCAAAGAACTCCGAAGATCCAGCAGAAATATTTCGCACATCAACAGAAAATTCCATCTACCGAATTCCCCCCCCCCAAGCGTACTCCAGAACGAAGAGAAACGACAAAATTTAGTAATCTATTTCGAAAAGATAATAAATAACCCACGTGAACTGAAGAAAAGGATAAACCTAGACTGTTTTTATGCCATAGAAATGCCCATAAATATAGCTAGCGATTTAAATATATGAAATAAACAGAACACAAAGTAGAAATCTGCTTTAAAATACTAGACATTCTCGAAAAGCTTATGGAGTAATGCTTCACACTCATCACTCGAGCAGCACTAGCCTTTTCCCGACTTTTGCAAGCGAACTTATGGAATTCTATCAAAATCTATCTTATTGTAATACACTTATTTATTTATGTTTCGAAATGAACGGAATCTAATTTCTACCACCTCGCTAAGTTGCTATCTGACGGCATATTCTTGACTCTTTTTCAAATTTCTGGAGCTCTCTCCTTTTTTTTTTTTTTTTTTTTTTTTTCACTTTTTGCCATATGACGGCGGCACTTTCCGCTTATTCTTTACAACTCCCAAGAGCGTCGAGTCGAGAGTTTTGACAGTATACATGTCAAAACCATCATCGTTGTATGCCTGTCTTACCAGTAAATAACAGTAGCGATAATGGTAAATTAATAATATTAAATAAAACATAAATTTCATAATAAAAAGCAAATCTGAAATGTTTCAGATTTTAAATTACGTCCAAAGGGGCGATTTTTTAACATTTTGTGTGTTACATTTAGTTATTAAATATCACGTTCTTCGCACTTAAACCATAAAATTCAGTTCAACAGCAATATCGCAAAATAGTTTTAAATTGAGCATATCTTTAGAATTTCCGATACAGAGACTCACGCGCTGGAGATAAAAATGTTTTTTCTGCACAACGTTGCCATTGCTCGCTTTGAAATCCTTGAGTTTGTTAATCAAAAATTCGTCAAAGTTTTAAAAATAGGAAATCGATCATAAAACAATTTCAAATTTCAAATTTGGTCTTCCACATGCTCATATTCGTTGGAGGATTACGTTATTCAAAATTCGATGACTCTATGTACCGTTGTTTTATGACAATGCGAGAAATATACATACATTTATGCAGATTTTTCATTATTTAATTTCTTTAAATATAACACAGGGCGATAATACTTTGTGGCAACAGTTTGAAAAGTGATAATTCGCCATTTGTAGTGAATCCACGTAAAATTCCAAAACGTAAACAATAGTCCTTAAGGGATAAATCCCTTTGGACTAAAGTATTAAATAATAATATTTAATAATCATATTAAATAAAAATGAACGAGTAGAGTGATAACTTCGAGGGGTCTTGTCTCCATAACAACGCCTCTTGGGAAATGGTAACACATTATATGCGCTTTCCAGAGTAGTTCTGGGTCTTTTATGTGATGACGCAATTCCCGAATGATAGATAGGCAGAGTGTGGAGTACGGGGTAGAGCTACTAGATAGTAACTCTACTATATATGTAGCCCTTTATAGTGGCCTTAGTACCGAGTTTCCAATCGAAGGAATCTTTTTGAAAAAGTTAACCGAAAGTCGCTGTATAAAGTGATTTAAAGGGAGAATTTTGGCTGGCTTTAGCTTCGAATGCTATCAGCTTGTTTGTAATGGTCTAATCTAGTCGGTACCAGTATCGCCGGGATATCGCGCAAGCGCGATGTATCCGGGTCTGTGAGTAGTTGCCATTAGAGGCCGATGGCATAGGACGTCGGAACGGATGGTTGAAAGGTCAAA